TCCTCTGAGAAGCATGTGTTCATCTCGATGCCCATTTCTGGATTGGGTCTTTAAATTTTGGGGCCCTAGTGTTTTTTAGTTCTTTATAAATTCTAGAGAGCAGACTTTTGTCTGAGTACTTTTTTGTCATGATTTTTTCCAGATTTGTGGGTTATCTTTTCACTTTGTTGGTAATTTCTTTTGACATGAAAAAACTTATCAGTAAGAGCAGGTCCCAGTTGTTAATTCTTTCTACTGTTTCCCTTGCAATTTTATTTTTGTTCATGAACTCTTTGCCTACCCCAGTGTCATCAAGAGTTCCTCCTACTTTCTCTTCCATGAGATTTAGTGTCTCTGCTTTAATGTTTAGATAGGGTTTCATTTTTCTAGTGTAGATATAAAACTTACAAAGGCATAAAGTAGTAAAATAGCTACTGAACTATTTAATGACCAAAATGTGCATAAACACTTTATAATATATAAAATAATGTTTTAATGTTGAATTATTATTTCTCATTCCCAAATTTTTATGGAGATGCTTCTCATGAGCTTGGGTTGTGTTTCTCCTTAACACGTTCTGAGCATCAGCACATCAGAGTACATCATCTTCAAATCTATTGGTTTTAGACATATTACTTTATAACTCGTGCATAATGCTGTGATTAGAAATTTGCCACAAACCACAAGAACCCAGTTGACTAGCATAGGACTGTGAATCATCTAATTTAACATGTGTGTGTGTGTGTGTAATCATGACCTCCTTGAAGCTACTTATATAGTACTTTTTTATTGTTGTTTTTATTTTTGTGGTACTGGGGATTGAACTCAGGGCCTTGCACTTGCCAGGCAAGCGCTTATTCCACTGATCTATCTCCCTGGCCCCATAGTACTGTTTTTAAAACTGATTTTAAATATGCTTTTTCCTAAGAATACCCATCCTCTGCATCTTTCATCCTCCTAGAAATAATGAATAAGACTGTTTAATTTGTTTGCCTCTTTTTTTAGTAATCCTATCATATGAGCTTTTGAAGTATCCGGATGCGACTGCCATTGTTTCTTTCCAAAACAATTATGGTATTATTAAAAAAAAGTCACTTAAAATTTTGCACTTTTATAATGGTGGACTGAGTCACTCCAGAATTTTTTAAACAATGTCTTGCCATGTAGTTCAAGCTGGCCTTGAGCTCACAGCAGTGCTCCTACAACAGCACACCTGAGATTCAGGAAATGTATGCTTCCCTTCAAATCTAATGCATGGCCAAGGCTGAGGCCCAAGGCCCAGGGCCTTTATCTTCTCACAATGCAAAGCTTCCAGTATTTCAAACAGTAGTAAAATCTAGTGGTTCTGATCTGCTAGTGCGCTCACCAACTTGTAAAAGTAAACATTCTCCTTGGAGGCGAACCTCACCCTAAACTGCAAATGTGCAACAAAGTTTTGAGCATGTGAGGAGACAAGAAACATGAACAGCAGCTGGATGAAGTCATAACACAGGCCGACCTACCCAAGCTTCAACTATTGGGCTTATCAGAAACAAACTCTAAAGGAACTATTTATAGTACTCAAGGATATGAAGGTCAAGCTTTGACTTCAGCTGGGAACACTAAGGAGTGAAACAACATATTTGGAGATGAACCATCTAGGAATTCAAGAACTAAGACCTACAACAACGAAAATTATGAATCCACTGAATGGTTTTAGCATTAGACGGAACATGCTTGAAGTATTAATTTTCAAAGTAGAAGACAAATCAAAAGAAAACAATCCAAGCCAGTGTAGAAAAGATAGAAAACACAGACGAGAACAATAAGAGATAAGGAGAATATTGTGAAGTACAGTAATTGAACTCCCAGATAAATGATTTAAAAAAGCATCAGTAGTTGAAATTACCAGCATTTATGAAAAATAACTTTCATAAGCATCCGTAAACAACGCCAGACATAATATACTTCTGAAATCCTTACTTAGACACATCATGGTAAACTTGTAGGAACCTAAAATTGAATGGAAACTGGTCAAGCAATTAGAAAAAAAAATTTTTCATTCAAAGTCGTAACAGATTGATGAGAAACTTCCCACATAGCAAGAACAGAGATGCCATATGAGATTGCCAAGCAGGAAAAATATCATACATAAATGAAGGTGAAATAAAAGATATTTTCAAGTCAATGAAATAGATTTATAATAAAAGAATTTCTAAAGCGTGCTCTTAAAATATAAGGAATGGAAGTCAAGGAGCATAATAAATGTATAAAGTTAATATTGGTTATATAAAAATATCTTATTCAAATATACATAAGTGTTTACATATATCCTGTTATAGTACATTATAAAATTGCATATTAATCAAGAGGTTGAATGAAAATAAAATATTCTAAATTCTTACATTGTGTGGGAGAAAGATAATGCTATCATGCCATCGTACTCTAGAAAAAGAGGGCTGCCCTCAAGAAGTCAACCAGTGACAAATGCTGGGGAGGCTATGGGGAAAGGAGCCCTTCTCCACTGTTGGTGGGAAGGCAGGCTGATACAACCATTATGGAAATCAGTATGGAGATTCCTCAGAAAGCTAGGAGTGGAGGTCTCATCTAGGCCAGCTTTCCCCCTCCTGCGTATTTTTCCAAAAGAACTAAAATCATCATACCACGGCAATGTATGTGCACCCATGCTTATAGCAGCACAACTTGTCATAGGTAAATCTTGGAAACAGCCCAAATACCCATCACTGAAGACTGGATAAAAAAGATATGGACTATTGTACAGCTATAGAAAACATAAATTCAAGGTTTTTGTAGATAAAAGGATACAACTAGAAATTATATTGTTGGGCCGGGGAGATGGCTCAGTAGAATAAGCGATTGCCTAGAAAGCACAAGTGCCTGAGTTCAATTCCCGGTTCCAAACCAAAAAAAAAGAAAAAAAGAAAAAAGAAAAGAAATTATATTGTTAAGTGAAATAAATCAGATCCATATGTACAAACATCGTATTATCTCACTAGTGTGAGAACCTGAAAGAGTAATTAAAACTAGAAAGGTACAGTAGATAGTGTGAAAGGGAAAGAATTTGTTCAGTGGGAAGAAAAAACTTAGATGAGGAAAGACTAAAGAAAGAAAGAAAAATATATTTAGGCATATAGCAGCATAATTTGGATGGTTGTACTGCCAGCTTTTGAAGGGAGCAGTTAATGCTTTTTTAGTCTTTTTATTCTTTTTTCTTTTGAATTTTGTATATCTTTTTTTTTTCTTTAAACCAATCTTGAATGTTTGTATCTGGTAATCTAAACAACTAATTTGAAAATAAGATCATGTAATACAGCAACCATTGTTGAATACCTATTACTTTGTTTAGTGAAATTTTGTATTGTTTCTAATACTGTTTTTTTCTATTACCATTTTGTATTCTTTAAAAAAAGATACATAAATAAAAATAAGAAAGATAAAGCTATCCATTTACATGAGACTTTTATAAGCAAAAGTAGAATATGACCCTTGAATTTTTAAAAATGATAAGTGAGCTCATAGAAAATAGAACAGTATCTTTGTGACATGAGATAAGATAATATTTTTAAATAGGACACAAATAACATTGATCTTAAAGGAAAGAATTGATAAATTGATTATACTAAAGTAACAACTGTGTTCATCTGTATAATAAAACAGTGGAAAGCTGCAGTATAGAATTGGCAATTTGTAACATGTATAACTAGTAAAGGACTCATATCAATGTCTACAAGTCAGTGAGAAAAAGACTCTTAACCAGTAGACAAGTAAGAGGCTGGAACGAAGAATTCCCAAGAGAGGAGGTCCAGATTGCTTCAATCCTGCGATAATGTATTTCATTTCATACATCAGAAAAACACATGTTGCACCCATGGTGAGACACCGTTGTACACCCAACACAGTGCTTTACATTACAAAGACTAACAATGGCAACTATCAATGAGGATGTGGAGTGAAAGGAATTCTTCTACCTGCTGGTAGAAATAAAAAGTGTACCAGTCATTTTGGGAAAAAGTCGGGCATATCTGAGTTCATGTATGTGTGGTCCAAGAAAATTGTGATCATAAAAACATAGTTACCTGTAGCCCAAAACTAAAAGTAAGTCATGTCAGTAGTTCAAGGTATCAATTTTTATTTTTTTTAGTGGAACCAGGGATTGAACTCAGGCCCTTGCTCTTGCCAGGGAAGTGCTTATTCTGCTGAGCCATCTCCCCAGCCCCTAAGCGATCAATTTTGATGTTTCCTGACAGTGAATATTCAACATTAAACTACTATGCTAAGAAAACAAGAATGAATTTCACTGAGGAAAACAAGGGAGACAAAAGTCTCAGATGCTGTAAGATTGCATTTATGAAGCGGGGATGAAGCTCAGTGACACAGGACCTGCCTGGCAAGCACAAGGCCCTAAGTTTGAATGGGTGGTATTAAAAAAAAAAACAACCAAAAAGTCACAGTTATGTAAAGTACAAAAAGAAGCAACACTAACATATGATGCTAGAAATCAAAACAAAGGAATAAATTTGAGGGGGGAAAATGGTGGTTGGGAGTGCATGAGTGGAGTTTGCTCATAAGGTACTATTTTCATCTGAGGTATATTCACTTTTTGATCATCGAGCTATATCCACTTACAGTTTATGTATTTTTCTGTATGTAGTTTTGCTTCAGTTAAAAAAGTTATTTAAAGGAGAAAAATTTGAGGGACTCTAATCTGAGATTTATAAGGACTCAAATATAAAGTGATATCCTCCTTAGAATTAAGGAAATTCTCCTCTTTTATTAGGAACATGCTTATTGCAACATTCTTTACGTACATGATGATCACATTCATCAGAGAGAACCTGTACACATACATTACACAACTTTTTCTCCCACTTAACCCTGTGATACTGTTGACCTGTCCCCTGATAAATTCTGAATTCCGTGGGAGCATCTCTGCCTAACACAGCGGATGTCACTGAGTACGTGTGGGATTCATGAAGCAACAGACTAACATGAGAAGTGTGTTCCATTTCCCAGGTGAAGAAAACGACGGAAGCCACCTTGCAGACAATACAGGACATGGTGACCATTGAGGACTATGACGTGTCCGAGTGCTTCCAGCACAGCCGCTCCACAGAGTCCGTGAAGTCCACCGTCTCTGAGACCTACCTGAGTAAGCCCAGCATCGCCAAGCGAAGAGCGAACCAGCAGGAGACGGAGCAGTTCTACTTCATGGTGCGACATCCGTCCCGGGCCACTCCCAACAGCCCAGATCTGGGCCACCCCAGAGCTGCTCCTGTAGCCGCCTCACAGTCAGCAGATGACTTGATTACAACATGGACTGCTGGCCCCTCTTGAGGTTCTGATTTCGTCTGGGTGAAGTTTAGGAATTAGTTTTGGAGTTAGGACTGCTTTAAAACAAGAGTCTTAAACTTTAACATATACATCAGCAGGAGAGCTTGTTAAGATGTAACTTCTGGCTGCTGTAGGTCTGGGAAGGAGAGGGGCTATGGCTCTGCATCTCATCTGCGTCCCCCAGCCGTGGCTGATGCTGCTAGGCTGCAGCTACACCCTGAGTACCAAAATTCTAAGATCTAGGAGATGAAAGTGGCTAGCCTTCACGTCTGCATGAGCAATCCCTTAACGCTGAACTACTTTTTGTTTTTTGGGTTTTTTCTATTTTTGTATTTTAGTACAGGGTCTACACGGTCTCACTACATAGATCGCACTTGTAATGATCCTTCTGTTTTCAGCCTCTCATGAGCTGGGATTACAGCAGGTGCTCACCACCATGCCCAGTCTCAATCCCCATTTTATCACACCTTAGGGGCGGGGCCAGCACATTGCTCCTGAACTGCTTTTTTAAAAAATAAAAATTGATCTTGCCTTTTGCAGAAACTCCGAGAGTATTTGGAAGGCAGTAATCTCATCACAAAACTCCAAGCCAAGCATGACTTGCTGCAGAGGACTCTCGGAGAAGGTCAGCTATCTGGAATAGATGAGAAGGTGACCTGGATTGTACAATGTGTCGTGAACGTGCTCCACAAAGAGTATGAACCATGTGCTTGTGACTTAGGCAGCAACACTACAGTTGAAGTTTGGTTTTATATGTCTGTGATAACCATGGTTTCTCTCCATTTTCTTTTTTAAGCGTCATAGTGAACTGCAGGAAGAATAATAAATCTGGGGAGGGCTGAGGAACTAAACCAGAGTTCATGTGAGCTCTCAGCAGAGCGCTCCTAGGACAGTCTGGAGAAGCTGCCCTGTTGCAGTGCCTGAAATTCAGCTACTTTTTCCCTTCTTGGATTTCTCCACCCTCCCGCACCACTGCTTCGTTTTAATGGGCTGGTATTTGTTGTTCTCTCTGTGGCCTTTTTGGACTCTAGAAACCAGCTAAACCAGTTTGGATGACTTCTTTTTCTTTTCATTAGACATTGTTGGTAGTTGAGAAACAGTCCAGTAGTATAAACAGAATGCTGCGTCTAATAATAAAAACAGTAGCAAGAGATAGTTCAGGATGTCCCTGAACCCAGTACAGAGCCCAGGCTGTCCACAAGCTCTCAGCCATTCCCCTGCCTCAGCCCCCAAGTGCTAGGATTACAGACATGCACACCTGGCTGAATATTTTTCTTACTTGAGGAATTGGTTCTTTTTTTCTTCTCTTTCCCACAGAGTATCATGTAAATTCTTTTTTTTTTTTCTTTTTTCACAAGTGCCTCATATTTGAAGTAATGCCCTCATAGTCAGTTGCCAGCCTCAGAGTATAAATTATCCTAAGTGTAGAAGAAGAATGCTTAGAGGCACAAAATCCTTCCCTACAGGGGTGGATACCACTTTAGAAACTGAGATTGCGAGGATTAAGTAGGGGTGCATTCACTGTTGGTGACGTGTGCTGACGTGTGTTTATGTGGCTTGGAGCCGTGTTCTCAACTGTTTATGGTACTCACGCAACATAAATTTTTTATGTCTCCTAGAAAGAAAGATGCAACAGTTAATGCTACTTCACATGTCACTTTTGGCTAGGATAATACTTTGGCCCATTTGCTGAATCTGTACGCCAGATTCTGTCTTTTGCTGTTGCCCTGTATAAAACTGCATTCTACTCTATCAACTCAGAGCCAGGATTCCTTTAGCTTGCAGTTTCTTTCAGTGAATTGCAGGGTGCTAGTGAGACAGCTGTGTTCAGGGGCTCAAGACCTTCCCTGCACTAAGCTTACTCTGCAGCAGGAAGTGGACGGCTCTCGCCTGAGAGCCGCAGCTCACACTGGCCCCTGACCACTGGCTGCAGGCCCCTCTGCTCCCCGGCTCTGGCTCCCTTGCAGGCTTGGCAGCTCACCAGCTTCTGGTCGCTGCCTGGGTTTGACACTCGGAGAAGAGATGAGCGGAGAGACATGCCCTGCCCCTCAGTGGGGTCACTGTGAGCCTGCTGCCTTTCCACGCAAGCCCTGTTCACGTTAATAAGTTTGCACCGAAGGAGCCTAGGAGAGTTTGTGGCTGCTGGCCCATGATGAAGCAATCCAATGGTGAGCCCTTGGGAAAGAGTCCAATTCCCCTTTTGGTTAAATAAGGTTAGTAGTTCAGGACTTAATGCTGTGTTTGGGGACAGTCTTGGGTTTTTAGATAGAAATCACCTCACTAAATAATACTGGATCCATGGCTTCAAAAACTCCCTTCACAGTAAAACAAATAGAGCCTAACCCAGGGATTTAGCAGTTGATCATACACAGCTGAAGCTGTAACTACAGACATGTGTTTGGCCTGCCTTCCTGCTCGCTGTTGGCAGGCTACCAATGGCCCAGTAAGATCTTTGATTTACAGCATTGTGGAGCAACTGCATCAGGCCCTTAAAGTAGCACTGTCAAAATTCAGAATTTTTAAGTCTTTGGAAGTTACTGAAATAGAAACAGAGAATGAGCAGTTAAACCAGGCTCGTCCTTGTCAACTTCTCCCCTCTACAACACCATTCTATCTTTCTGTGGCGTCACTCCTTTATAAATTGAGCTTAAACTGACCCAGTAAATGAGATAGATATCCATAACCCTAGGGCATGGAAAATTATCTTTTATTTTCAGTAATGAGCCTAATGTTCACATTCGCTTCTTTGTGTGCACCATTTGGAGTTAAGAGGGTGTAAATACCTGTATGATTTTGCCAAAACAGAAAATCTGACAGTGGGAACCAAGCTCCACATTACATTGTTTCTTGCACTGGGCATGGTGTTTCTGACAAAGGCATTAAATACGTTGTCTTCGCACAGTCCTTTGTGTGGCTTAGAGTAGGAGTACAAGTATACTTTCAAAAGAGAAGCTGTTTGTGAACAATTATTTCTTTTTAGAAAAGCGCTGCAGTCATTGATATTCTTAAGGAAGAGAAAGGGCTGGAAAGAAATGCCACCAGTCCACAGAGGTCATCTCTGGTAATGACCACTGGGGAGCAAATCCAGGGTGTCTCTGTTAGTTGGAGCTATTTATATTATAAATATTTCCTCGAGATTTTTTTCCTCAGGTTGCCCCCAAACTTATTTTGATTTTGCTTATTAGCTAGAGAAATAAAATGCATTTAGGTGCAGGACATAATTCATGTCGAATTCTCAGGTAAGATATTGGAGTAGCTGAGGCTGGTGTTGTACCAAGGATAAGTTAATCTTGGGTCACTTTTTTTCCTCCAAATGACATACATGTATGTGTGTGCATATGAAGTGGGTCTGTTATTTTTAATAATTAATAGGCCCCCAAAGAAAGTGATTGAAATCTAGGGCCGGGGAGATGGCTCAATGGAATAAATGCTTCCCTGGCAAGCGCAAGGGCCTGAGTTCAATCCCCGGTTCCGCAAAAAAAGAAAGTGATTGAAATCTAATCCTCAGCCCACTGGAACCTTTCACATTTCTCTGGGAAGGAGCATCATCTAAGCTTGTGTGTTCTTGATCTATTAATGATCGTACTGAAGAAAAAATTAAGCCTCATTTGTCAGTTGTGACGCTATCAGGACTTTTAATTGGAAAACCACTGACTGGGGCAGTGTGGTTGTGCTTTGAATGATAGTATTTGCAAATGCTGCTTTGGTTCCATTATTCAAAATGTGTCTTTTATTGATTTTTAATGTTTTATAGTATTAACCATAGATGAATGGAATAAAATTATTTGAAGTAATTTTAGGTATCTTTAAATCTTGGGACTAATTGGTTGAGGTATTTTAACAAAAATAGTACAATTTCCCATTTTTAAAATATTTCATTAATAAGGAATTACGATTAGCATCATTAGCATTGAATCACTTGAAAATAATTGACCTGTTAGTCACATGTACCACCATTCATACGTACAGATATTTAATAATTTACATATTCATGTAATTTATTAAATCTATTAAAAGTCTTCAGCATTTTGTATTTGGCTTTAGCCGCATGAGGTAGGCAGAAGCCATACACGTTCTAGGGTCATTCAAAGTGTTTTCCAGAGGGGCTTTGCCGGATAGTTGTTTAAAGAGCTGCTTGGGTAAATGCAAGCAGGTGCACAGGACCACGGTTCGACTCCCAGCTCCAGAAGCTGTACCAGACCTGCCCTTAAGGCTGCCTAAAGTAGAAAAAAAAAAACCTCTTTCTCAAATTTTGGGCCCAGGGAGATAGCTCAGTAGAATAAAGCGCTTGCCTGGCAAGTGCAGGGTCCTGAGTTCAATCCCTGGTACCGCAAAAAAAAAAAAAAAAAAGTTTTCTAGAAAACAAAAATAAGGTCTATTTGCAAAGCTAGTACAATACAGAACTTGGGAGCGCAAGTCCAGAACTGTAACAAACCTGGACCCTCGTACCAGGCCACCCGGCGGTAGTATCGTGGCTTTGGGCAGCTCATTTTTCCATGCACTCACTTTCTTCTATAAAATAAGAATATAGAAGCTACTTCATTAGATGTTTATGCAAGGTATGAGCGAATATATCTAACATAGTGTTTGGAACACTTTAGAGAACTTACTACCTAATACTAGCTTAGAATGCTATCTAATGAGTATTAAACATTGCCGCTTACTACTGTATATATTTTTATCCCATAATAAAGCATGTAACATGACAATACAATACAGCACCACACAGTTTCTCTACCAGCTGCGGTCATTTTACTGGGTCTTCCTGGGCCAACTCCCGTGGCCCCAACACAAGCTAAACAATAGAGCCGCTCAGATCTTTATCTCAAGTGCAGTCTCTTCTCTGTGTCTTAACCCTCTCTAGCCAGCTTCCTGCCGGACACTGTTAGGATACCACACCACGCCAAGCTTCCTGTTTGGCCCTCTACTTTCCACGTATGATTAGCTACACATTTTTCTGGAGTTTGTGTGCACCACTTCTAACTGGCAAAAAGCCCCTAAAGGAAAGGACCTGTGGTTACACGATAGGTGGGACTGGGTAGAGGAGGGGGCACCGGGTTCTTCTCCTTTCCCACATCCCTACTCCATGTCTGGCTAAGAACTGATTCTCTGCCAACATGTACAGGGGTCGGACTATGTCAGTGAAGGTGTTCTCAGATATTATCTGCTGACCCTGGTTTAATAAGTAAAGACTAATCAAATATCTTATGCTGCTTGTCCTTTAAAAGTAAGTAGTAAGCCAGAGATCTAGCTCAGAGACACAAGCACCTGCCTGGCAAGCGCAAGGTCCTGAGTTCGATCCCCAGTACCAAGAAAAGAAGTGTGTAATAAAGTGTGAGCCTGGGCATATTCACCCACTGCTCCCACCAGCCAGCTTTCCCCTTCCCCGGGGTTGTTATGCTGGTCTCGCCCAGGAAGTCTGAATCTCCAGTCTGATCTAGTGGACGGGGCTCACCTCTCTGTGCTGTTAGGTGACCTCCCATAATCAGCTGTATTTTCAAGCTCTTTCAAGACCAGTCCATCATTTTGCAAACAAATCAGCTGAATGGTCCATGTCTCCCACAGCTCCTCTCATTGCTCCACCCTGGGTGTAAAGAAGAGCAGCCAGCAGCCAGCAACACATGCGAACTTAAATTAGTGCAGATTGTGAGAGGGCCATAAAAATTCAGGCCTGTTATTTAAAGCAACTCGAGAAGCCCAAATGTATAAAAGCAGCTCATGTTTTGAATGACAGAATTCTATGAAAGGTTTTCAGCTTGCAAGTTATTGGAATGTAGTATCATTTAATGTCTTCCTATGTTATTATCTCAAAATGTCATTTTTGATTATAGAATACAGCTTCTCTCCCAGTTCCCGGATTTCATGTCAAAGAATATTAGTTTAGTCTAAAGGAAAATAAAGTCTCAAAAGATAAATAAATAAATAAGAAAGAAAATAAATTCTCTCAGCTCCACTTGACCTCCTATTCCTCCTGGAGAAGTATCAGTCAAAACAGAAGGAATAACTAACGTGCAAATCTGAGATATACTTTGTTTGTATTTTGTGGTTAAAATGAGTTATAACCAAGAAATTTTGCCCTCAAAAACGGCTTCCTCAAATTGTCGTGTGAAATTTATTTCTCTAATCTGTAGAATTCATTAAATGTTATTCTGCTCATTAAAAAAAAAAGACTTCATTAAATGTTATGGATAAATTTTATAACATATGGACTGAATTACTTATTTATCTTTATATGCTGTTCTCATGTTTTGTACCATAAAACGTGTGAGTTATTATAAACTCAATATCCTAAAATAAGGGGCAGATGATACCAAAAAATGACGAAATAATTGGTAATACAATATATTCCACTAATTCTTTTCGATTCACTTATTTTATTTTTTTCTTTTCAGGTCACAAAGCTGAATATATGACTACAAGGTAGGAAGATATTTTGTCATAATTCATAGTGTACCTCAGTTTCTGTTCTCTTTAACAAGAAGCAGCCATTTAAGTGCGACAGACGTGAATACGCTTGGTTAGTGAGCATGGAAGATAGTTTGGGCTTGACAAAAGACGGCACCTTGAAAAGCTGTGATCCTAAAGCTGTTTAATAAGCAGAATCACTAACAAAGACCTAAGCTGAACAGGCTTGGTTTTCCTAATCCAAAGCATATTACATCTGTCTTTAGAACAAGCCTGATTAAGACTTGCTTGGGTATTTAGTTAACAAACAACATGATATAGGGGTTGGGGAGATGGCTCAGTGGAATAAGCGCTTCCCTGGCAAGTACAAGGACCTGAGTTCAATCCCCGGTTCCACCAAAAAAAAAAAAAAAAAAAAAAAGATATATATCTACTGCATGCATATGTGGAAAGTATTAGTTATTTTCTGTTCCACTCTGTCTTATGTCCCACTACTCACAAATATTAAAGCTATATTAAATACTCAGAGGATTTTTAGCTCTCTACCATTATTTCACTTTTAAAATCCTAACTTTTAGCACCAACAATAGCACTGCACCTTTTTTTTTTTTAACTACTCATAGAAGCATTTGTAAGCCACTACTGAGAAAGAAAGGCCATTTTGGAAAACGATTCTGACTTGAGCTGGGGAGAATTTGTGGTGGGTGTTACTTTTCTATGACACCATTTGTACAGCATCCAGAAATTATTCTAGTTGACGTAGCAAGCCCTTGCACTTTTGAAGTTAAGTTGTACTTGAGGTCAGAGGCATCAACAACCAGTATTTTCTAGGTCCTGTAGCTTATTATGGGCAATTTTATTCATAAGGAAGCTCCACATACTTCCTTGTGAACCACCTAGAAAAACAGAGCTACTGACTTTTCTAAACTTATCAAAAAAAGAAGAAAAGACTGAGGTTTTCTTTCATGTTGTCAGTAGCAAAGAATAGTATTACCTCAGTGTAGTCATATGAATTTTATGGAGTTTTTTCATATACAGTATCTCTCTGCACTGTCATTTTCTTTCCTGTTGTTTCTAGAGCATATTTAATACAAGTCATTTTAAAAATATTTTTAAAGGATTGCAATGTATTAATTTGCAGTGAGAACTATAATTTTCAAATACCCTGGATGTTCACACAGCACCTTCCCTCATGAGCATCCCCTGCAAGAATCCAAGCCACCAGCAAGGTGTGTGGTAGGCACAGAGCCAGGAAGAGGCATGTAGTCAGGATGGTACATGGTCCAGTTCTGCTTCCTGATCAGAACCGGCGCCCCTCCAGTGTGCTCTTAGCCCACCCTGCCATGGAACTGACCTTGCCTCCCTCAGACAGTTCATTTTACTCCCAAGCCCCTCTCAACAACTTCAGTTTCTTTGTATCTGCCTCACACTTTACATCCTTTGGGGTAGGCCATGTTCAGGCCTTTGGTAGAAGCATCAGAGGGCATCCAAGCCTCTGTCAGCCTCAGCCAAGGATTACCCTGGATCTACCCGTCACACAGGAGTGGCTATCCAGTGCCACGGAAAGCTCTGGCTCCAGCCACAGATCTGCTTGTTGCATGAACCAGAGACCAAATAAATTCTGATCCCTATTCCTTTGCCTCATCCAGATATCACTGAATGTAGAGATCTGATGGGTCCTGTGTTAGAATTATTTTTCTAGCTTCAGTATTTGGTATTTTGATCTCTTGGGCTTTAATAAACCCTGGAGGCACTGCCTCTTTGGATGAAGCAATTCTTAGGGATAGAGATGACCAGTTTACAGATACACCTTTTATAAGTGTGCTAATTAATCCAGAGCCCATAATCCAAACCACTTCCTTCATCAGATTCCCACCTTCAGAGCCACTTGCCTTATACTTCAGGGTCAGGTACCACTAGGGACAGTGCCAGTCCCTGAGACCCCTTGAAACTAGTCAGTCTAACCACTGCCAGGCCTGCTTGCCCTGCTTCTGTCAGTCCTTCCAAGGAGAGCCACAGTAAACACTCTGACTTACATGTCCCTCTCACTCTCTCTCTCCACCTCCTGATCAACCTTAGTGGCTCCCCGTCAGCATCTCCCTTCCCCAGCACAGCAGCCAAGGATGTCCCTTCCTTATGGGGACAGTAAGAAACTTTTCAACAGCAGTCGCCTCTTGATCTGTTGGCTTCACCATACCAGCATAAAAATCTGCATTATAAAGACATTTATAAACTAATGAAAATGTGGATGAAATCAACAGTGAATTGCTGAACATCTGCTACGTCCCCTCCTTCCTCCATGAATGGCACTGAATTTGTGAAAGATTTCAGAGATACCAGCTATAGTATGACATGACGTGTTGCCTAGTTTCCATAGAGATTTCCATATTCACTTCTAGATATTTGTTTGTAAGGACTTCTTTTACACCCTCGGGTGCCATGGGACTTGAGGTACTACTGCTACGTCCCTCATTATCATGAGGCCACCTGCTGGGAGATTCTTAGAGTCTATGAAAGGCTGTTATCTATAGGTTTGTTCCCCTGATCTTGATTATTGTACCTTTCTATCCTTTCACATAAATTATTGAAGTTTTTGTTTCGAATCTAGACTTTCTGAATTTGAGCAGAACAAACTGAAAAAGTACTGCTTTCTAGAAGTCTATAGCTTACAAAAGGCTTTTTGGAATTTCCAAGTGTGGTGTAGACATTGCAGTTGAGGAGTTTAAATTGCAGTGTCTGGAAAGAGGTCTCAGGGCCCTCCTTCTGCGTACTTAGCACAGATGTGGAAGTGGAGTCAGGCTCCTGCTCTCCAGCTACAGCGCAAGATGCTGCAGATTTTTCAAATACAGTGTGCGGTGCACTGGAGGCGCGTGTGTCAGAAAGACCAACTTATACACCGAGCAGACAGGCAAGCAGGCAGGCAGGCCAGAGACAGAGTGCAGGACCCCATAAATACGAACATCCGACTGCTCGAGAAATACTGAGCTGGTTGGGCAGTTTGTTCTACAAGATAGTAATTCATGTGAGCTCGTGCCTCTTGTCAGAAACAGCATTAAAACTAAACACTACTCTTCTAATTTGTGAGGCATTAATGGCTATTTTTGCATAGCATAAAGTCCAGCTAACACCTAAGAGGTGTTGAACAGATGTGATATTACTTGCAGAGAGGAATTATGTTGTACCTGAAAATATTATATTTACTTGATTTTTCATGTTGGGATCCATTCAGAGACCTAATTTTAGGGCCAAGTGTATCTCGTAATGAGCACCAAGCATCCTGCTTTGTAACGTTGGCCAAATAGCTCACAGTTGCAGTGTCTTTCATTTTTAAGCATACTAGCACACAAATCTCAGCTATAGCGTGTAAGAAGACAGCAGTGTAAACGAATCCTTTGTAAACTTTTTTTATACATGAGTAAAAATAAATGGGAAGGGGTGGGACCCTCTGCCCCCATGGGCAGGGGTGGGAAAGGAACCCAGAATCCTGCGGTTAGTAATTTGGATGTGACCTGTGAGTTTTTCATTTTGATTTCTGCCATGCTCAGTAATTATATTCCCTTCCCTTAGGCCTCCAAACGTTCCCCCTAAGCCCCAGAAACACAGGAAGTCCCGACCCCGCTCACAGTATAATGCTAAGTTGTTTAATGGGGATTTGGAAACATTCGTCAAGGTAGGGGCAGCAGCCCTCCGGGTGGCTGATCTCCCCGCTTCTCACTATAATGGTCTCAGCCTCTCATCCAAAGAGGCAGGTCATTATGTCCGAGTCTGTCCTGGGGCTCTTTGCTTTCCCAGAAAATCAATATAATATTTCCTGAAGTCGGAGAGGAAAGAATATTTGGGTTGCGTGTCTTCAGAAAAGGAAATAAACATGAATGTTATTAGGTGGGCGAAACAGAAGCCCTTTATTTTTTTTAATGCCATAATTTGTACAAAAAGAAAAGGACAAAAAAAAAAAGGCAATACGTTATTTTCTCCCCGTGCCACTGAGATAGCCTACAATATATTTCAAACTTCCATTTGTTAGGCTCTCTCTGCAGCACAGCAAGAGTCTTGATCTCCTGTGACTTTAGGAATCCATTATATTGGCTCAACTGGAAGGCCCTGTGGCCTGTACCTGTGTCTCTGCTGTGTTTACTCTGTCTTCTTTTTCATCCTGTCTTTCTGATAACGCTTCTAGCCGAGGACGAAGAAACTCGCACCCGAGACATCAGGTATAGTGCTCGAGGGGCGCCAGCGCGGCCTCCCTCGCTGCTGGCGTCGTCCCAGAGTCGCACTCATGCTTGGCTTTAATTAGCTTTCTGAAGGTCCTTAAAAGAAAAATGTCTGCAGTTGCAAATTAGACAGGCGTACAAATACACTTTATTTGGAAATGAACTATATAGAAATCAAACACTAACATAAGAAAAAAAAGCAGATCAGTTAAGCTCTCCATTTTTCCAGTATGAGTGTGGCAAATGTATGGAATTTGACGGAAGGAATTTTACAAAGGAAAGTTAATGCTAAATAGCATTTAATATGAGATTTTGGATTCCAGTACAAATTATATTTTTAAAAAGGGGCTTTCTTTCTGCTTCGTAGCTCACATTTTATGACATGGACTGCAGTGTTCTTGAAGACTAAATTTATATGGGAAGCCATATTTTTTAATAACCTCCCTTAACTGGCCTGTTACAGAGCTCTTTCTTTAAATACATGTCTGTTTATTGAATATGTGCACTAATCATTTTTAAATAAACATATTCAAGTGTATGGATGTGTAATATATAAGGATAAATAAATGCATATATCCATAAATACATACAGAGCTCTGACAGCTGTAAAAATGACTTCTAAATCTGGAATTAAGTGAAAGCCACTGGATAACCTAAATGGCAATCACAAATCCATTGCCTTGAGCCTTAAGCCCAGAAGAGCCTTATTAGCTCTAATTTAATATAAAATTATTGTTAAATTTGATTACCTCGTTTCCCAGCCCATGGCTCCTAAGCAGGGGCAAATGGAGAGGAGACAAGAAAACAAAAAGCAGTGAGATGCGCAGCCGATGACCGACAGAAAGAGCACAGAGGAAGCCCCAAGAAGCGGGTGCCTGACTACTGTTTTGCTAAGACAGCGTGAGATAGCTGTTTAAGATCATAGATAGCTATTTAAGATAATAGCACAGTACCCCTGTCAGGTTTCTAAAAGATGTTTCCTTAAGTACTGCTAAAGGAAACCAAATGGAAGTATTAAAGGAGCAAGCAGTTAGCATGGGAAGTTCACTTATGTAAGTGCTGCTTCTCCCAGAAGGCACAAGGTAGTGACAGTGATGCACAGGGCACAGAGGTCTCTCTCTCTGTGCTTCGGGAAAGGGCTTGTCCAGATGAGGTCCCCTCAGTATCACTGGCAGAGAACCAGAGTAAAGTCGTTTTCCATGTAGGGAACACAGAGGTGTGTTTGCACAGGCCTGGAGTGCAGCCATTGTTTTACTTGTAAAATATTTTCTTCCCAAGTATGTGGCATCCATGAAATTAAAGCAACACACACACACACACAATTTTTGACTGCAAAATTCATTATATCTGAATGATATAATGATAGCTATAAGATTAGCAATCACCTGATTTTAAAAATATTTTTAAATAGTATAAAAACTTAAAACGTTTATTTGGAATTTTCTTAGTGCAAACATTTTTCTTTTAATAACTTTTCCCTTGTTTTTCTTTATGTTTTAGTACTAAGTTCAGCTGAGGTATAAACTAATAATTCTCTTTTCATCCCTTACATTTAAATATTTGTTGCTCTTTTATATCATTGTTTCGTGAACTATTCCCAAAAAGGTTACTTTCATTAAAATATGCTTGTGTATTAAAGAAAAATCCCTTTACACATTCAGTAAATTTTGATGTAATTCCATTGACATCTTGAGCCAAGTAGTCCGCACTCAGATGTGTCTTTATTCTTAAGGCTCATCTTTAAGGAATCAATAAAATGTGTGGTCCTAAAACAAATTAACTAATTAGAGAAACTGAATACAGGCCCCAAAAGTACCTGAGCCATTATATACTGATTTCATTGTCTTAAAATTTAAAAAAAAAAAAAAAACTTCCTTAAAAAATGCATTACCAGACTGGGCATGGTGGTGCGCACCTATAATCCCAGCGCTTGGGAAGCTGAAAACAGGAGGATCACTACGAGTCTCCTTGATGTAGTGTAGGCCCTGCACTAAATACATTTTTTAAAAAGTGCATTACCTATTCTAGAAACCATAAAGAATTTAAATTGCTGAACTGTATTATTCCCAATCTTTAATCTACTGCTTAATTGGGAAAGTTAGTGGTTATTCAATTGTTCTAATATATAAATGCAGCTAACATCTTGTTGTGTTTCAAAATAAAATTTTTTCCTCATGAATATATGCTTGGTTTCAGCTAATCATTTTTGAGTCACTTGTTTTCTTTAAAGATTTAATTCCTGAAAGATCAGAGTCTTAAAAATATAAGAAGAATATAGCCAAACTCAGTCACTTTCTTTAACTTGCTGGACTGCATGGCATTGACACATGTTTAACTGTAGCCTCACCATCTCCTTCATCTCATTTGTCATCTGATACATTTTTTAAAGCACTCCTGTATTTACATTTGCTTAATAGAGGGCATTGATTCTTTTATAACATATGGGAAAAGAAGACCAAAAATAAGTAAATAGATAAAACAGACTCCTTTCCTAAGACAATGACATCTTCTGGGATATACATTTGTGCAGTTTTTCTTAATCCTAAAAATATGAAAAATCCTTAAGGATGAATAAGTTCTGAGGCAAACTAAGTAAATACATGCCACATTTTAATTATCTCTAAAGCAGTTCTGGGTCACACATGAGGCATCATGTGGGGCATGTACTCCCAGGAGCATGGTGGAGAGAACGCTGAGGTGGTTGAGGGGTTGTCTTATGGAGAAGGCTGCGATAATCCCTCTTCCAGCGTTCTCTGTCCATCCATCAAAGATGAACCGCTTATATCAGAACCTTGCCAAAAATGAGTTCTTCATTTTGCCATGTGAGCCTAAATATGAAGCTAAGAGATGAGTTAGCTTTTGACATCTCTAGGCACAAGAGGCCAAGTTGAAACAGTATTGTCCCCTTGTATTAAATGTATTTAATTTGGTTTGCTACAGAACTGCAATCTACCTTTGTTTAAATGTAGAAGTCTTTCACCTTTTGCGGGGGTGCCCCGATTGTAGAAGGGGTGGATTTGGAAATGATCCTCTCAAAGGATTAAAAGATGATTACTGTTGAACTGTGAGGTTTATTGTGGTTTGATATAGACACTTCCCTTTGAAGTTAACCAATTTCCCTCTCCTTACTCAGGACTCGGGACAGGTTATCCCCCTCATAGTGGAAAGCTGTATTCGATTCATCAATCTCTATGGTAAGCCATACACTACAGAATTCTTACTTGAAAAATAATGGTGAAGAGTGTTTCAGTAAACATGACTTTTCATTTAATGCTTCTTAGGAATAAATAGGGAACCTAAAGAATGTGATAGGGTTTCTTATCCTCTTTTTCTTTTGCTGGCTTCAGGTCTTCAACATCAAGGGATTTTCCGAGTATCTGGTTCCCAAGTGGAAGTCAATGATATTAAAAATTCATTTGAAAGAGGTAATTGGCTGTCTGTGTCTATATGCAAAACATCTTTAAAAGTCATTACTGTGTATTGTGCAGTGGCATCCTCATCCCGTATCTCCTCAGAGCCTCTGTCTTTGCACTGAATTCACTGTGGATGCTAGAGTAACCCTCTATTCAGGATAGCCAGAGAACAAGACCCAGATCATAAGTCTTTGTTATTAAAAGTGGAAAAACATATGAGCTTGGTATCCTGACAATGATCACCCATGACACATGTGCCAAGGTGGCCCTGAAAGGCCTCCAGAAGACACTGGGGTGGCTCTGGCCTAGTCAGCAGGTGTGGGAGGCAGCTCCTCCCAACTCGGCTTCCTTTGTCAGGCGCTCCTTTCTTTCTCTTCTTCCATTCCCAGGCTCATTCGATGTGACGTAGTTGGCGCCTTATTCATGTTCATAATTGGTTGTCCATAAATACTACTAAAACTTTAATTAATAGTATATTTTGATTAGCAAAACCATATGCTTTAGTGTTAGGAAAACCTAGAACCAAATCAGAGTCTCATTTACTACGAAATTGGATTTGAGTCAAGTGAGTCAATTATTACCTAGGTCTCAGGTTCCTCAAATGCACACTTGTAGCTTGTAAGGATTAGACTTAGACATCGTCTGTGAGACTGCCAAGCTCCTTCACGATAGCTGTTAGTTATAAATGCCCTCCAGATGTGATCACTTGTATGGCATCCTTCTCTGGGCACATCTGTGCCTTCCTTCCTGTGTTTGGAGGTCAAGGCGAAAATGTAGGGTGTTCATCCCATGGCGGGGACCCGCTTTCCTTCTGCTCCATTTCCCCTGGGAACCCCTAGAAGTTTACAGCCTTGGTTGAAGAGCGAAACTGGAGCCATGTGATTTTCTCCTGTCGCAGGTCTCTGACCAGTAGCTATTTCGAGCAGAGCTGCATCTCTGTCAGGGGCTAAGTCAGCACCACTTGACAAAGATTCTATCCAGGATGACAAGATGAAAGGTGGTGAAGCATCAGGTCTCCGTGCCAGCCACTACAGGCAGAATGATCTGTTCTTTTTCCTTGGAAATCTCCCTGTATTTTTTATTTGTCTACAATATCTTTGGTTATGGTTTTCTCACAGAAGGCAAAAAACAACAATAATTATAGCTGATGAGTTTGTGTTAAGTAGTTTTGTGCTGGGGGGGGGGGGGTGGGGGTTCCACTATCAATAAAGTGCCCTTAGAGGCAAGCAGTCTGTTAAAATACAGTGTACACTCTTGAGAATTTTAGTAGATGGTGAATATAAAAATAGACTTTGATTTATATTCAAATCATATTATATTGGCCTTTTAAAGGACTTCCTTCTAAGGTTAATTCTTAGAAAGAAGAAGTAGCCAGTATAGTTGCCTAGTATTTTAAAACTGTTTACCACAAAAAATATATATATGTAATTTCAAGGGCCTAGGAATAGAGCTCAGCAGCATAAGTTGCCTGCCTGGCAAGTACAGGGTCCTGAGTTTGATTCTTGGTACTACAGAAAGAAAGAAAGAAAGAAAGAAAGAAAGAAAGAAAGAAAGAAAGAAAGAAAGAAAGAAAGAAAGAGTTAAACAAATAGCAATGAGACAGTTTCAAAACCGATTAATAGGACAGTTTCAATAATTAATACATTGCATATTGTTGTCTTCGTAGTGGTTATTCAGAGTACAAGATGCAGACATGATATCCTGTCCAAACACTATTAGTACAAATCTTTCTTCTCATTGAATTAAGAGAAAGTAGCTGTATACCTATCCTATTTTGTAGATACAGATACAAAAAGGTCCTTCATTTGTATGTGATACATTTTTTAACAGCTACTTTTCATACAAATACCTTGATACCATTAAGGTACATTTTCAAATCCCTCCGCCTGATTTCAGAATTTCCCACTGTTCAAGGTGGCTCTTAAATGTACTATGAATACCACCATGCTACTTTGGGAAACACCTGTTACTTAATTGGAGGCATTCACAATTACTATGTGATAGTTTTATTTTTTTTTATGTGATAGTTTTAATAAATTTTGCTGACCCATATTATATAGAGAGGCCTTTATTGTGTCTTTTCCCAGTAGAATGTGACATAGAATGTAGTTTTTAAAGTAATGTCAAATGATTACCAGTTTTAGCTTCAAAAAAATGTTTGGTAAAATTATAAATGCCACAATATTTTATTTTAAGATTTGGGCAACTTGTGAGGGAGTATTTTGTAGCATAAGATTTTTTTAAGCTTTATTTTAGCTAACTATTTTTAGGTTAATCATGGGGTGGGATATCTAGACCAATCATTTTAATTTTAGTACCATATAATTTTTCATAAAGCATAATTAAAAGATTCGTGTGTATATAGGAATAGCAATATATGGGGGAGGGGGGGGAGAAGCGCTGTGTATCTGAACGCTTTCTTTTCTAGGTGAGAATCCTCTAGCTGATGACCAGAGCAACCACGACATTAACTCGGTGGCCGGCGTTCTGAAGCTCTATTTCCGCGGGCTGGAAAACCCCCTCTTTCCTAAGGAAAGATTTAATGATCTGATTTCTTGTATCAGTAAGTACATTTTCTTCTTAGTCTTTTCCACCAGAATTGCTTCACTAACAACTTCCTGGAAGAGACAGCAGTCCTCCTCCACATGCCCCCCGCCACCCCATGACCATGGTATTTCTGAGGCCATTAGTTTTCCTTCTGGATCCGTCATGACTCACCCTCCCAGCTGTGGCCTCACCCTTAGCCCAGCAGGCTTTGCCTCAGGCTGAGCAGCTTCAGGCTCTGTGGAACCCAGAGCTGACTACTTAGTTGCTGGAGTGAAGCCGAAAGAAGGCAGGTGCCAGCTGCCTGAGAGAGAAGAGAGGGGCCAACGAGATAGCTCAGCAGACTAAAACACCAGTTTATGCAAGCCTAGGCAAGCGTAGGGACCACTGTTCGATCCCCCACACCACATGCCGCACCATCCCCACCCCTGGGGTGTGTACTATTTGTTGAAAAAAAAAAAAAAAAAAAAAAAAAAAACTCTGTAAGTGTGGAAATAGAATCTTTTTGGCTTTTTTGTTTTTAACCAGTATTAGAGTCAGACTAAATTACTCAACTTTGAATGTTACTTCAAGAAATAAGGTAGGGTGGGCTAAGAGCTCATGAAGGTACAGGAATACCAGGTAGCAATTAACTGTCAACTGGCACCCCCAGCTCACAGGCACAGTTGCTCTGGGACTGTGTTTGATGCGTTACAAAGCCAGTAATCATCAGCAAAGTAGAACAGAGCTGCTTTCTTCAGTGGGGCTTGTGGCAGTGCACAAAAAAATACACCAAGAATGAGTTACTAAGCACAGTTAGCTTCAAGGATGCTAAAATTACAGTACCCCTCTAAGTCCAAGGTCCCAGGTAAGCGTCTAGGGCTGACTTCAGCCATACAGCTTTCATCAAAGTCAGGCTTTCCGCTTGATAGAGCACACTCTCCTGCCCCACCCGCCACCCCCTGGATTCATAAGTCCCATTGACTTGACTGCGAAGACCTCCCTCTCCTCACCCCGCCTTCTCCACCCCCTTGCCTTGGTTTCTCATTGGAGCTCTTATAATCTCTTGAACAAACTTTAGTTCTGGATGCTGTCCTCCCTCCACAAACCCCAGCCTGCATCACCCCACTGTCTACACCACAGCTAGATTCAGAAGGGAGACTGCCAGTATTTGCTCTTTCCCCTGTATGAAACCTGGCTCGTATTTCCTATAATCCTTGGTATGATCAGTTCATGGAATGCAACGCCTTCTGTATCCAATCCTGCCCTCTGTCTAATCTCTTCCTGCTGTTATGCAACCGTCTTCTGCCTCCCTAGCCTATTTTTTTGGTAGTGTTTAAATATACAAGGTAGTTTAAGAAAGTGCACACAGGCCAGGCCCTTTGATACCGCCATGCCTTCGCCTAGGCTATTTCTGTTACTGTCTTATAGCCATGGACATCTGCTGTGAAGGCTTGGCTGAAACAGCCCTTCTCTCAGAACTCCATCCTCCCTGCCACCCGCAGTGAACTGATCTCTTTCTCCTCTACTAATATTCCGTGGTGTTCCTATCTCTCTAATTTCTCTAATTACCCTATGTTACAATTCTTTACTTCCTCGGTCTCCTTCCACTAGAGAAGGAGTTTAAGGAACAGATCAAGAATATGGGTTTTAGACTAAAACAGCTCAAGTTCAAACCATAGCTCCATGCTTGCTCGCCAGCTGTGGGACCACAGGCGAGTTTCTTAAACTCTCCACACATCATTGCCTTCATTGATCAAGCAGGAAGAATAGCAGTGTGTTCGTTATAGGTTGTGAGAACTAAATGGTGAATATGTGCACCAAGAAGAGTGCCTGGCCTGGATCATGCGCATATCACGCCTGCGTTTAGCCCCACAGACCCGTGAGATGGTGGCGGCTCACTCAGTTTCATAGCCCTAACACTTGCCACCGCTAATTCCAGGTGCAGAGGAAGTGCTCGGCACATCCTCGTTAAAGAGAACACCAGTAAAGACTCGAGATGATCTCACAATTTCTTTTGTCAGCATCGGTGCCTAAAGTCTGGTCCTTAGCTGGCCTCAGCTGCACAGCTGTCATTCTCCCCAGTCCATCAGATAGCCTGGGTGGAGCTGAGAAGGACACCTTTGTGTCCACTCCAAGGCTCTTGTAGAGGACCTCTGACCTAGCTGGAAGGAACCACAGAGGAGGTGTCCTGCTTCTGGAACTCTCCTTTGGCCATGTCCAGAGAGTTCCCTCACATCCTAGCCAGATAAGCTAAGTCTGGAAAAATCAATTCTCTGTAACACTTAGTGGTTTACTAGGTCTATATCAGCTTTAATGTTTATAAGCAGTACCAGGTGGATAAAGAGCACTGGAATACATTATCAGTTACCATTAGAGAATCATTTATGGATGAGAAAATCTATTTAGTTGTGGTTCTTAATAACTGAGGCCATAGGGTCGGAAATATTTAGGTTCAAATCCTAGCTTTACCAGCTCCGTAAATTTGGGCAAAGATTAATGCTTAATCTCATTAAGTAGCTGTCTCTTCATTTACTTCGTAGAGTCTGTGTGAAGAATAAGTGAGATAATCCACTTAAATTGCTTAACATCATGTCTCGCCTTGCAGTAAGCCTCAATAAACGCTGCTGCCTGTCATTATTCCTGCTATTACAGCTGTTCCACTGCAAACTCAGATCACATATGCCAATACCTGATTTCACCACGTACCAATCTATCTGTTCTGGCAAACTTGTATTTCTTTGACATAATTCCATTAGCTGCATTTAGAAATGATGGTGTTATAACCTAAAGGTTGTTTTCATCCCAGCATGATTTTTCCTACCATAGTAAATGTTTTATAACAAAGTCAGTCTTTTTCACAGTTAAGGTCAGGTTTAGCAAAACATGTAAACCATAAGAGAAAGCAGAAAATTTCCAGAACGATCTTCCATGGAGGTGATCCCTGGGATACTTACTGTAAGTACAAATGAAGAAACTCGCAAAGCATTTTTCCTTTTATCAAAACAATGGAGTAGTGCAAATCAGTGAATTAATAAATTTTGAATTAACTTGCATGAAAATAGACTGTATTAAAAATTAATGCCCTTCAGAACCTATATCTTGAAAGAAGAATCAGGAGCCCTGAAATTTAAGGCTGCAAAGAAATGTACATCCCGCACCTGCCACCATGCTGACCCAGCCCCAGGGCACGCTGAGAGGTTGATTGAGACTGGGCGTGGTGGCGCTCACCTGTAATCCCAGTGCTTGGGAGGCTGAAAACCAGGAAGGATCACTACAAGTCTGATCTGTATAGTGAGACCCAAGAAAGAAAGAAAGAAAGAAAGAAAGAAAGAAAGAAAGAAAGAAAGAAAGAAAGAAAGAAAGAAAGAAAATTTTAAAAAGAAATGTAATATCCCTGTTAAGATTTAACTGTGCTACTATTTTTCATAGGATATTAGTGTTTTTATTAGAGCTCTAGTTCCAAAACTTCATAGGTGCTAGGCCTCTATGTCAACTTTATTTTTCCTTATATCTTATTTTCAGTGTAGGTAGGATGACTTTTTCAAGAACTCATTGGCATTAATAACCTCTGTGTATAATACCTCCTTTATATAATAATCCCTGTCCTTCTAAACTCTAACCTCTTTAAAAAGACAGTATTCCTATTACTGATTTGTCTCAAGGCAAACATTTGGTAAAACAACATGACCATGTGCATTTTTTTTTCAAAGTTTTATTGATAAACAGATAGCAATGAGACAGTTTCAAATCAAATTGGAAGTACAGTTTCAACAAATAATACACTGCATATATTCTTCTTAGTGGTTAATTGCTGTACAAGATGCCGACTTGTGATCCCATTTACAAGACCATGTGCATTTGCATTTTTCCTAGATTCTCAATATTCATTGAGTGGCATAATATATCATTCATCCTTATGTTCCCTCATTGATATTACAATGATAACAAATCACTTGATGATTGAATCAAGTTAATAGATTGCCTGCAATATGCAAGAAATTATGAAGACTCAAAGACTTCAGTCTTCCATTTAGGAGGCTTAAAAGCTCACAGGAAAGTGAAGATATTCACGAATAAAGGCAGTTTAGGTTAGTATATGATAGAAACACCAAGATTTAGAAATTTTAGGGGAGACAGATCTCGAGAGTGATAGATTGTTTTTAACCATGTCATCTTGCAGCATTGCCATAATTGAGTCTGGTTTTCCCTGTTAAGGTAATTTCATGACAGTTACTTTGTGTAGAAAAAAAAATCTTCCCTTTTTGTCTTTTCTAGATTATATAAATCTCTGTAGCACCCACTACTGTTTGCTTTCCTATTTTTGGATTATTTGGGGGAAAGAAGTGAGTGTGTGTGTGTGTGTGTGTGTGTGTGCGCACTAAGTTATTATCCTGCCATCTTTGTGCCCTTAATTAACCCCATTTTGGAAACTTACAGATATACAATAAAGGGAAGGAATATACCTTAACATTCCTTTTTAAAATGAACACTATCCATTCTCCATTTCACTACAAATTTATTTTGAAAGAGCATTTATCCCAGTGAAAACATAGTGAATTGAGTGCAGTATAAATTGGCAATGACAAATAGAGTAGTTTCTTACCCAAGAGTTGTTCTGTTTTTTATTTGTTTGTTTGTTTTTTTAATCTACTTTGTGAATGGTTTTGTGAATGTTCCAGCTCATACCCACAAAGTCTGGGCAGCTTCCAACACTTCCGTGTATCACAGCTCTGAGATTCCCTAAGGCGAAAGTCTAAGCAATTACTCAAGTAGTTCATGGGTTTTCCAGGTTTCCTGGAGCTTTGAGCCAGGATGAAACATTTGCACTTCATTTTGCATAATTTGTTATTATTTACGTGACTACTTATACCTGAGAAAATAGTTTCATAGAAGATTTTTTTTTCCTATCATGAAAGTAACCTTCAGGTCCCTGCAGAGGACTTGAAAAACACAGCAAAGCGCGTAGGATGGACCACTGCCCCTCCAAATGTCACTGCCTAATCTAAGCAGCTAATTTGCAGACAACAGTATGCAGTA